CCCCCCCCATCCCCGTCCCCTGCAGAAAAGGCAATCGCCACGGAGGCGCGCTACAGCAAGCTGAAGGAGCAGCACAGCAAGCTCATCGCCACGCACGCTGAGCTGCTCAGAAAGGTGGGCCGGCTGGGTAGGCAGCTGGGGGGGGGACGGAGCCCCGACGACGGCAGAGCATGAGCCCATGCCCTGCCGTGCAGAACGCGGACACGGCCAAGCAGCTGACGGAGAAGCAGCAGAGCCAGGAGGAGGTGGCCCGGGTGAAGGAGCAGCTGGCTTTCCAGGTGGAGCAGGTGAAGCGGGAGTCGGAGATGAAGGTGCGTCCCCCACAGCCCGGAACCTGGTGCTGGAGTCCCCTAGCACCCCTGCCCCCGTGACACACTGTCCCTGTGACACACTGTCCCCTTGACACACTCCTTCCCGTCCCAGCTAGAGGAGCAGAGTGACCAGTTAGAGAAGCTCAAGAGGGAGCTGGAGGCCAAGGCCGGAGAGCTGGTGCGCATGCGGGAGGACCTGAGCCGCACGGAGCAGGTGAGCTGCTGGCTGGGGCGGAACAGAAGTTAGGGTCTTCTTTCTCGTGAACTGGGCCATGCCTACATGCCACTGGGTTGGCTCAGAGGCCCCTCTGCGAGCCTGGCGTGTGGCTTTGACCCAGCACCCAGAGAACACACAGGAAATGGGCCCTGACCTTCGGGAGGCTCGCAGTCTAGGGGAATAACGAAGGCAGGGCCCTAAGGGAATGGTCTGTAAACTCGGGTGGGGCGAGGGGTGGCCAGGCCCCTGGAGGCCCTGCTCAGTTGCCCGGCGGTGTTTGCAGAGCGGGTCGGAGCTCAGTTCGCGACTGGACGCGCTGAGTGCAGAGAAGGAGACTCTGAGCAGCACCGTGAGGCAGCGGGAGGCCGACCTGCAGGCAGCCCGGAGCCTGGTGCAGGAGAAGGAGGCGGCCCTGAGCCAGGAGCAGCAGCGGCATTCCCAGGAGAGGGACGAGCTGCGGGGGCGGCTGGCGGACAAGGTAGGGGCCTCCGCTGCCCGGTGACAGGCAGCTGGCCTGAGACAGTCACACCCACAGCCCGCCTGCCGAGAGCGCTTTCATCTGGTGCTTCTGGAACATTTTCACCGCCCCAAAGAGAAGCCCCTGCCCAATACGCGGTTAATCCACCCCCAGCCCCTGGCCACCTCTGACCCGCTCGCTGTCCCTGGATTTGCCTGTTCTGGACGTTTCATGAAAATGGCACCGTACAGGAGGGCTGGCTTCTCCACTCAGTACATTGTTAAGGGTCACCTGTTTCAGGACTTCATTCCTCTCATGGCCCAATTCCTGGGGGTGGAGCGGGCCTGTTCTCTGACC